TTTATTTATTTGACAGAGAGAGAGCAAGAGAGGGAACACAAGCAGGGGAAGTGGGAGAGGGAGAAAGAAGCAGGCCTCCTGCTGAGCAGGTAGCCAGATGTGGGGCTCCATCCCAGGATGCTGGGATCATGACCTGAGCCGAAGGCAGACGCTTAACGACTGAACCACCCAGGCGCCCCTTATTTTTTAAATTTTATTATATGTTCTAGTTTTTTTTTTTTTAATAATTCATGTTTCTCTTCATTTGAGCTTGTATTTTCTCTCTTTTTTTAAATATTCTCATCCTGGTGGGTATGAAGTGGTATGTTATCATGGCTTTGGTTTGTATTTCTCTAATGACTAATGATATTAATCATCTTTTCATGTGCTTGTTGGACATTTGTACAACTTCTTTGAAGAAATACCTATGCAAGTCCTTTGCCTATTTTTAAATTGGGTTGTTTGTCTTTTGTTGTTAAGTAGTAAGAGTTCTTTATATATTCTAGATACAAGCCCTTTATTATATGATATTTTCTTCTATTCTGTAGGTTGTGTTTTTAACTCTCTTGATAGTGCCCTTTTATGCACAGAAGTTTTTAATTTTTATCACATCCAATTTATTATTTTATTGCTTGTGTTTTGGTGTCATATATTTACCAAATCCAAAGTCATGAATATTTGCCTCCATGTTTTTTCTAAGAGTTTTTTAAAAAAAGTATTTGTAGCTATTTAGGTTTTTGATCCATTTTAAAAAGTTAATACTTGTACATATTGTAAGGGAAGAGTCCAACTTTATTCGTTTGCATGTGTATATCCAGTTATCTCAACATCACTTGTAGAAATTAGTCTTTGTTTTGTTTTGTTTTTTTGTTTTATTGTTTTAAGATTTTATTTATTTATTTGACGGAGAGAGACACAGGGAGAAGAGGGAACACAAGCAGGGGGAGTGGGAGAGGGAGAAGCAGGCTTCCCGCAGAGCAGGGAGCCTGACGCGGGGCTCGATGCCAGGACCCCGGGATCATGACCTGAGCCAAAGGCAGACGCTTAACAACTGGGCCACCCAGGCGGCCCGAAATTAGTCTTTTTTAATCCAATGTAATTATCTTGGGAGTCCTTACCAAAAGCTAGTAGCCATTACTCACAGTTGTATTACTTTGATCTATGTGTCTGTCTTTCACCAGTACCAGTTTGATTACTGTAGCTTGGTAGTACTGAAATCAGAAAGTGTGTCTTTCAGCTTAGTTCTTCTTTAATTAAGATTCTTTTGGCTATTCTGGGTCTCTTGAAGTTCCATATAAATTTTTTAACAATTGGATTTTAACTTTTTATTTTATTTTAAAAAGTTTTTCTTTAAATTCTAGTTAGTTAACATACAGTGTAATAGTTTCAGGTGTACAATATAGTGATTCAACACTTGCGTACAACACCTGGTGCTCATCACAGCAAGTACCCTCCTTAATCCTCATCACCTGTTTCACCCATCCCCCCACCCACCTCCCCTCTGATAACCATCAGTTTGTTCTTTATAGTTAAAAGTCAGTTTCTTGGTTTGCCTCTCTCTCTCTTTTTCTCTATGCTTGTTGTTTTGTTTCTTAAATTCCACATATGAGTGAAATCATGTGGTATTTGTCTTTCTCTGACTGACTTATTTTGCTTAGCATAATACTCTCTATCTCCATCCACATCATTGCAAATGGCAAGATTTCATTATTTTCTATGACTGAGTAATATTCCATTGTATATATATACCACATCTTCTTTTTCCATTCATCAATTGGTGGACACTTGGGCTCTTTCCATAATCTGGCTATTGTGAATAATTCTGCCATAAACATAGAGGTACGTGTATCCTTTGAAGTTGCATATATAATTATAGTTCAGGGGCACCTGGGTGGCTCAGTTGGTTAAGCGTCTGACTTGTGATTTGGGCTGAGGTCATGATTTCAGGGTCATAAGATTGAGTCCCCTGTCTGGCTGCATGCTTAGTGTGGAGTCCGCTTGGGATTTTTCTCTCCCTCTCCCTCTGCCCCTCTCCCTGCTCACACTGTCTCTTTCCACTCTTTCTAAAATAAATAATAAATAAATTTTAAAAAAATTTATGGTTCAGCTTTTTCATTTCTCAAAGGGCTGTTGAGATGTCAATAAGTGTTGTCTTGAATCTATAGATTGCTTTGGGTACTATTGCCATCTTAATAATGTAGTCTTCTAATTTATGAACACAGGAAGTTTTCCCACTTATTTAAGTCTTCTTTAATTTCTTTCAGTGATATTTTGTAATAGTCAGCATACAAGTCTTGCAGCTCTTGTTTAAATTTATTCATAAGCATTTCATTCTGTTGATGCTATTGTAAATGGAATTATCTTAAAATCCTTTTTAGTTGTTCATTACTAGTAGATAGATGTATTGCTGATTATTGTATATTGACCTTGTATCCTGCAACTTTGCTGAATTCTTTTATTAGCTTTAACATTCTTTTTGGCAGAGTCTTTAGGATTTTCTATACATCGTTATGTCATCTGTGAGTAAGAATAGTTTTAGTTCTTCCTACCTAATTTGCCTTATCTCTTTATCTTGCTGAATTTCTATGGATATAACTTTACATATGTACAGTGTTGAATAGAAGTGGGAAAGTGAACATGTTTATTTTGTTCCTGGTCTTCTGAAGAAAGCTTTCTGTCTTTTACCTTTGATTATTATTTTAGTTGTGGGTTTTTCATAGGTGAACTTTATCCAATTAAGAAAGTGCTTTCTCTTTCCATTTTTAAATGTTTTGTTATTATTATGAAAGAGTATTGATATTGTCAACTACTCTTTCTGCATCAATTGAAATGAACATGTAACTTTATTTTCCTTCTTTTTTCCAAGCTTTACTGAGGTATGGCTCATAAAAAAGGTATATATTTAGGTTTTGCAGTGTGATTTTTTTAAAGGTGTGCAGTGATACAAGATAATTTAATATACAACCTATATACTGTGAAATGGTGATCACAATCAAGTTGACACATCCATTACTTTAGATACTATTTGTGTGTGTGTTTGTGTGGTGACAACATTTAAGATCAATTTCTTAGCAAATTTCAAGTATACAACAAATTATTATTAACTGTAATTACCATGTTGTACATCAGATCCACAGAATTTATTCATCTTATAACTGAAAGCTTATACCTGTTGACTAACATCTCCCAATTTTTCCCAACCCACTGTCCCTGGAAATCATTCTTTTACTCTCTGGTTCCATGAGCTCTTTAGATAAAATATATAAGTGAGATCATACATTATTTGTCTTTCTGTGTCTGGCTAGTTTCACTTAGCATAATGTCTTCCAAATTCATCCATGTTGTTGCAAATATCAGGATTTCCTTCTTTTTTATGGTCAAATAATATTCCAGTATTGTGTGTGTGTGTGCGTGTGTGTGTGTGCGCATGCACGTGTGTGTATATGTATGTATATATACACACAGTTGACCCTTGAACAATATGGGGGTTAGGGCACTGACTGCCCATACAGTTGAAAATCTGTATATAACTTTTGACTCCC